GGAAGCCATCTAGAAAAAGAAGTTGTGCACAAAGTTCAACAAAAGCATAACATAAAAATAAAATCAAGTGGGATATTACTAAAAGATGAATTCCCAATTTTCGGAGCGTCGCCCGATGGTATAGCCACAGATTTTATTGTGGAAGTTAAGTGCTGCCAAACATTATGCACAAATGCAACTACAAATGTTGTTCGCAGACAAGCAAAAAGACTTATTTTGCGTGGCGCATCCTGATTTCGAAAAAGGTGGTAATGTAACTGAAATTTGGATTAATCGAGATGTGAAAATTGTGAAAATATTATGCATAAAGCTCTTGACTTTTGGAAAAAGGCCATTTTTCCACAGCTGTATAAGATTTCACTTTCCTAATAACTTATCCTACTTAACTTGACTAAATTTAACTTATAAATATTATGCCTGTCTGTGAAATAATCATCAAAATTTTTTGCTTTATTTTTATCTAGCTTTTATTTTTCTATGTTTTTAAATTGGTTATTTCCACCATCAAATTATCTAAAATTGTAATGTAAATGCAATATATCATGTGTGTAGTTTATTACTGTCTATCACATATTTTGATAAAAACTTAGATATGCATTAGTGTTTATTTTAAAAATTCATTGTACATATGTTAAATAGAGAACATTAAAAAAGAACTTATTTGTTACATCGAACTGATTATTATAACTTTATGAAAACAAATAGGCAATAAATTTTTGTTATCATTATTTTAACTTGTATTAGTATTTAGTAGTAAAAAAAAATGCATAATATGCGTTAAGAAGGGNAAAGTTCAACAAAAGCATAACATAAAAATAAAATCAAGTGGGATATTACTAAAAGATGAATTCCCAATTTTCGGAGCGTCGCCCGATGGTATAGCCACAGATTTTATTGTGGAAGTTAAGTGTCCTACCTCTGAAAAAACAATGGAAAAATACTTTGATGACAACAAACCTGCTGCCAAACATTATGCACAAATGCAACTACAAATGTTGTTCGCAGACAAGCAAAAAGGCTTATTTTGCGTGGCGCATCCTGATTTCGAAAAAGGTGGTAATGTAACTGAAATTTGGATTAATCGAGATGATGACTATTGTGAAAATATTATGCATAAAGCTCTTGATTTTTGGAAAAAGGCCATTTTTCCACAGCTGTATAAGATTTCACTTTCCTAATAACTTATCCTACTTAACTTGACTAAATTTAACTTATAAATATTATGCCTGTCTGTGAAATAATCATCAAAATTTTTTGCTTTATTTTTATCTAGCTTTTATTTTTCTATGTTTTTAAATTGGTTATTGCCACCATCAAATTATTTAAAATTGTAATGTAAATGCAATATATCATGTGTGTAGTTTATTACTGTCTATTACATATTTTGATAAAAACTTAGATATGCATTAGTGTTTATTTTAAAAATTCATTGTACATATGTTAAATAGAGAACATTAAAAAAGAACTTATTTGTTGCATCGAACTGATTATTATAACTTTATGAAAACAAATAGGCAATAAATTTTTGTTATCATTATTTTAACTTATATTAGTATTTAGTAGTAAAAAAAAATGCATAATATGCGTTAAGAAGGGCACAGTAAAAAAAAAACTTTAAAATACAAATTTCATACTGTCAAACATAATATTATTCTGCCATTATCTAATAAATTTTAATATTTGCTAAAAGTATAATGTAAATGTGAAGGATCATGTGAGCGATAAAGAGTTTATAATGACAAAAAATTCTAACCACAAGCAACAAGTACTTAAAAAATAGGAACAAAGAGAATTTTTTAAGAAAAAAAATTAGTTTATTACAACTATTATATATTTTGATAAAAAAAAATCAACTTTAATTGCAAAAATCCAAAGAAAGACATGTTAAATAGAGATTAGTAAAAATAATTTTTTTATTATATCAAAGTTATTATAAATTCTGTACACGGTATTGCACAATTTTCCATAACACTTTCTTGTAAATTAACAATATCCGCATTGCAAGCTTTATTTTGCATATGAGGTGAAATTTGGCAACCAAAATCTCTCATAGAAACAGTGGTGGTACTGGTGCATTTACTTCTATATCCAGGTTTAATATTTACCTGGCAAATGGCATCTTTATATTCGTCATCTTTAATGTGTGCCGTAGTAACTACATCATCTGAACTAATGAAAATAATTTCATCAGATGTTGATGGCACTGAATTCGAAAGAATGTCATTCACAGTGTTCTTTCGCTGACGCTTTGCAGCTCTTTCTGTAGACAGAGCTGGAGGCTTATTTTTCTGGCATGCAAATATGTGTGGTAAAGCTCCTTTTTTTAACTTGAGATTTACACCTTGTACTTTATGCCGCACATAATTTTCTGTATCAGTTTCAAGCTGAAACAAATGAAAATTTTATCAAATTTAGTCCATTCTGCAAACATTCATAATTTACATAAATAACAATACCAAGCATTTCAGACATATTAATAAAAATATTCAATTAGCTATTAAGAACCACACCTGTTTTATGATTATGTTAACTATGTGCCTATTTATTTTTGCCCTACAATTTTATTTAAATTATGGAGAAAAAAAAACAAATATAGTTGAACTTCTTTCTAGAATTTCTTTTACGAGANTCTAGTTTAGGTAAAAAAGATATCAAAGATCTTCCCCCAAAGTGTCCTTCTATTTTAGAAGCAATACACTTCGATTTTAAAATATATTTTTAAAAAAACAAACGACGTTCAACTAGGCACGTAAACAAGCGTTAAATCACCAAGGAGAAAAAGTGTAAACAAACGCGAGTCAGGCTCGAATGGCGTCACTTTCTTAAAAGTCACGTGACTTCCTTTTTAAACTGAAAACGAAAGTACACGATTTTTAATTGCTCTTAATTAAAAAAGTAGCATTTTTTGGGAGGTAAAAAGATGTTTTTCAGGACTTTTCCATCATTCTGAATTCATTAAGAACATAAAAAAAATTGACTGCAATTGTCCATTGAAGAATTCATGACTAAACAAAATGCCAGCTTCTTCAGTGATGCTAAGAAAAGCACAACTGCCGATTTCAATCTCAATCTAAATAAAGAACCAATACCAGATGCAAAGTTGCATAACCCTATTCTACGCTTCCTGCTCTCTGACGGGATAATTTCAGACCACTACAATCCATAGTTTTTAGATACCCCCCCCCTCCTATACCATATCATATATGGATGCTCCCGAGAAGAGGAAATGAACAAGAGTGATTCTTAGCTCGGGAGTATACCACCCCTAGCCTTTAACCTAATTGTGCCCCCATGTAACTAAACTACAACCATACTCATTTGCTATTTTCATCACAGAAATACTCAGATATGACCTGCAAAAGCAGCAGACTACCCAGTCATCAACCATCCTTGCTTTTCCCATATGCCAATAGTCCCTGTTGCCATTTAGCCTAATTCATATGAAGAAGTCGGGTGCCCGCTGCCGCGGGCAGGTACTTCAACAAAGACCAGATCAAGTCAAGTCAAGTTTAAGTATTTATTAGATATTTTCATGAATAATATCTTACAATCTTCCTTTTAAATAATTATAAAAGTATTATGTATTTTAAGTGTAAAATTTGAAAAATAGGGAAAAAAACATTTTTATGTTGTTGTTTCTACCACTCACTCAGCTTCCTTCCTAATTTTATCTGTTATCTTCTTTTGCTGTAAGACGATGCTCTTTGAGATCTCCAAATATAGGGGCTCATTCACAAAATTTCTTAAGCGTGAATGACTTATGACGTAAATTTAAAAAACACTCAAAACATGTCTAATTTTATTAATTGAAGTCAAAGAAGTTTTTATCTTTTCGTTTCAGTTCCAAGGGATTATTAATTTATTAACGCAATTCAATAAACTATTTCAAGTGATACTAAAGTTTTACGTAAGATAATGACCTAGGCTCTTAGATTGAAAAATAATAGTTAGTCACATTTTTTTAAAAAATCAATGCAATAATTTTTTTCTACTGCTAGACTTAAAAACATTTTTTAAGGACATCAAAAAATTCCACTTACAATTGAAATTTGCATAGTCGAATGAGGCAATGGATTGCCTCCTAGCCAAATTAAGCAAAGTTAACTTGTTACAAGAACAAGTATTTGAAACAAGTTAACATCTCCATCCTACTCGAAATTGTTTGAAAATGTATGTTTTATTTATCGATTCCAAATTTCATTCTACATCTAATTTAGGATATACTTTAGGGATTCTTTAATGGAGTTTATTTTTAGAACCTTTATTGTTTTTCTTAGTTGCTTAAAATTATCAAGTTATAAGATTTAATGCATCCATATTATAATAGTAAACAGGAATTTCAATATGTAAGCGTATCCTTGATGCCGCTATTAATAAAATAATGGAACAAGCTTAAATAAATATTAACAGTGAAATTGTTTCTTGTTTTAGATTTCAAGAAGTAAAATGTTTCATCCAAACAGATTTCAATTATGGGAGCAATGAAATTATTCAGAACGCTCCTTGGAGCAATATAGTTTTCTTTTTCCCTTATGATGAAAGATAGGAAAAATTTGTATTCATAACTTCTGTAAAAAGTATGTTAACTCTCTCTTTTCGTAATTATTTTATTAAAATAGGTTCAAAAATTATGTATTTTTTATTACGCATTTCAAACATACAGGTATTTTGGAATTAAAATATTCACCATTTTCTTGTAAAATAGTATTTTTCTATACCAAATAGAATAAGATCATAAAAAAGGTTGTCTGAAAAGGAAAATCAAAAAAGAATACACACTAACACAAAATTTTCACACATTATTAATTTTTTTGTTAAAACATGGAAAACGATCAGAATAAAAAAAAAAAGTCTTCTACAGTCTTTAAAAATGAAACGCATTCTTGCCAAAATCACTGGATTCACCGGAAAACACAAATCGGCCTTTGAACTACAATTTTCTTTTGTAAAAGAGGAACTGTCTGGCTTTCATGTGAAATAAGCTGAATTTATGTAAATTGGTTTTAGTATGAGTTTCTTTTATCATTGTTGAAGTCTGCTGACATCTAATTTAAATTTAAACAGGAAAAATTGTAAACAAGAATCCCCGTCTGATCTACATTAATAGTATTTTGAAAATAAAATTTTAGACTACCCATTTAAAAATTACTATGTAATTTTTTTTCTCAGAAAATCGTATTAAATGGATTTTTCTCTATATGATATTATAATTTGTTATAAGTGTATATTATATGATATTAAAAAGCCCAGCAATGAGATGGTTTTCTTTACCAACCTTCTGATATTACCTATTGCATTCAAAATAATAATAAAACAAAATTATGCCAAAAAACGAAGACTCTGAATGTCTGCAAATTATTCAAATTACTTTAAGGAAAGTTTAGTACCAAACTATATCGTGAAAACAGTTTCATCAGCAAAATAAAATCAGCTGAATTCTTTCATATCATGATTTTGATTTTGTTTCACACCACAATTTAGAGATTGCTGCCAGATAATAAGAGTATAGTGTTACCATAATCAAGCTACTATTTCAGCTCTTATCTCCCTCAGAGAGCCGTAAGAAAACCACAGTACATATAGGACCCAGCTACCTTTATTAATATATTTTGCATACATTAAAACAACAGCGATTACCATGAGAATTAGTACCAGCAGTACTTACAGTCAAACTTATTTAAGAACCCTTGGTGTTAATAATAGTTCAGCGATTTTTCATTGTTCCCTTTAACCCTATGTTCCCCACATTGGTGCAACCACCCTCAGAAGGCGTTGAAGACTCCTAGGGGGACCTTAAGACTAGATAAAAAATTAAAGATTGTTAAATATAAACTCTATAGAAATATGCTCTCAAGTATAACCAGAAACATATCTAGACTAGATTTTGGATCGATAAATAAAAAATATATTTTCAAAATATTTAGAAGAAGGTGGAGACGTTAACATGTTTAAAATAATTGATCTTGTAGCTGTTTAACTTTTATTCCACTATTTCATTCGATTTTTGGAATTTCAATTGTTCACAGAATTGATTAACATCCTAAAAATGCTTTTCGGAGCAGCAGTCAAAAAAAACAAGGAAAAAAAGGAAAAGAAAAAACAGAAATAACAGAAATGAATAAATAAAAATGCACTGCTTTCATTTTTTATAAAGCTTTGACGAATTATATATTATTACTTTCTCAATCTAAGAGTCATAATTATTATCTTACGTACAACTTGTTTAAATATCGCGTTAAGTTCACTGGTGTGCAAAACTTAAGCAACAAGTGCGTTTCTTGTCATAACTCTACAAGAAATCATCCGATTGACATGAAATTTGAATATGATGTACATTATTTTGTACTTAAGCGATGGTAAAAGAATAATGGCGCAGAAATGAATATAAAGCTTAAAGTAGGGCATGGAACAAAAAATGGCTTTATTTGACATATAGTGGAGTTACACTTGATTGCCTGAAGAAGCGTAAGTACAACAGGCAGATGTTCCCTAGTATGGGATATGCCCTCCCCTTACTGTAATTGTTCCTTGGCATCGTCTCTCCATGCTAAGCACCAGATTATCCAGGAGTTCTTGGGGTAAACGTCTCCATTTCTCCTTTAACGCATCTTTCAGCTGATGGGTGATACCAGGAGGATACTGTCGTGTCGCAAGACGTCTCCCTAATGCATCCCACACACGCTCTATAGAGAGTTAGCTGGCCAATCCATTCGTGTAATATCTTCACTTTCCAGTAGCTCTTGAACATTAGCAGTACGGTGTGGCCGGGCATTGTCATCCATTAAAATGAAGTCTGGTCCAATGGCCCCTCGGAACAGACGCGCATGGGGTAGGATTACCTCATTGCAGTAGCGGTCTCCAGTTACAGAACCTCGGTTGAAGATCTGAAGGTAATTGGGATGAAATCGAGCTTCAACCTCTCTCCAGATCAACTGACGTTGAGAATCGCTTGTAGCACTAAAACGACTCTCATCTGTGAAGAGGACGCGACTCCATTGATGAGGTGTCCAGGTTTCGTGTTCTCTGCACCACTCTAAACGGTGTTGATCCCGAACTCTTCGGCGACACTGGTCACTCTACGCCCCTCCTCAAGCTTCCCAATCATTCTTCCTCGGGTAAAGTCGTCTAAATGATTTCTTGAAGACATGTTTCACAAAACAAATCACTTGCACTTGCAGCGTATGTCTTTAACTACGGTGCTCTTCATCCTTTTATCACAGCTTTGACCTGCGCTCGCCGACCCACAAGGTTTACGTACACTTACATCACCTACGACGTTTTATTTCTAAAATTTGAATACAAATAATCTTTCTACTGAATTACGTGCTTATTATACTGCAATTTCATAGCTATCCTATACTTTGTTGGGGAGCTGTGGCACTTGTTGCTTAAGTTTTGCACACCAGTGTATTTTAATTTAATACACTGTGTCACTAAATGGACATTCCGAAGAAACTGAAACGGAAAGATAAAAACTTCATTACCTCCAAAAAATATGAACGTGTAATTATGAGCGTGTAAGTCGAGATGTTTTGAGTGCTCAAAAATTCACGTGCGAGCTCTTCGAATGGTAACGTTCAAAGCAAATGTTGAACGCTCTCAAAAATATCTACCGGCAGACT